CCACCCACCCCCCCCGCCATCCCCGCCCCCCTCCGTCCCCCCCAGCCCCCGCGTCTCCCCCACCCCCCCCAGCCATGCCCCGCCCCCGAGGGACACGTTCACACGGACTCCGAGTGCGCGGCCGCCTGTGGCGATAAACCCGCCCCTCGGCTGAGTCCCGCGCACCTGCCCGGGGCGGGGGCCGGAGAGTTCCCGCCCCCAGCGCCCCGCGCACCTGCATGGCGGCGCCTCCGGCTCTTCCCGACCCGCGGGGGGGGCCTGGCTCGGCTCCCTTCTACTTCCGGGTCACGGGGTGAGAGGTCATCGCCTGCCGGAGGGGGCGGGGCGGGGCAGGGCAGACATGGCTGCCTCCGAGCGAGCAGACTCTGAGGTACCCCCCTGGCCCGCCCCGACCCCGCGAGGGGGCGCGTCCTGCCCGCCTGGCCGCCCCCTGCGGGCGATGGGGAGGGCCGGGCCGGGCCTAGCGCTGGGCGGGAAGCTTGGTCGGTGGAGCTGGGCCTGGCACTGGGCCGGGGGAGGTGGGCCGGGGCCGGGGATCAGTAGGAAGGGTCTGAGCCGGCTGCCATTGGGTTGGTGCTGGGTCTGGTGGGGGCAGCATGTGCTGGCTGCAGCATGTGGGCCCAGGTCTGCCCGGACTGTGCCGTCTCCCTAATGAACAGTCAGAGCAGCAGAGGGGCCTGTGGCACCTTCGAGACTAACAGACGTATTGGAGCAAGAGCGTTGGTGGGTGAATACCTGGCCATGCATCCGAAGAAGTGGGCATTCACCCACGAAAGCTCATGCTCCAATACATCGATTAGGCTATAAGGTGCCACAGGACCCTTTCCAGCTTTTACAGATCCAGACTGACACGGCTACCCCTCGGATACTAATGAACAGTGCTGGTGCCCTGCTGTGACTGTCGTTCAGGGTTACAGTGGTGCTAAGCCTTGGCCTGTTGTACAAGGGGCTGCACAGACGTCTAGCAAAGCACAATCCCTGACCCAGACCCTACAGCTTTGGCTCGAGATGAGGCATGGTTGGGTGAGGATGGAGCAGCAGCATGTATCTGCAGAGATGAGCAATATGCACTTTTAGCTGTACAAGGGTTTTTGTTAATGGAGAAAAATAAGCAGCTTAGCTGTTGTGTTCTCTGGTCGTCTCCTGCCTAGTGATATGGTGACATGTTCCCCTTTGCTGCAGGTGGAAGACGCAGGACAGGTCTTCCTGCTGATGAAGAAAGACTATCGGATCTCCCGCAACGTGCGCCTAGCCTGGTTCCTCAATCACCTGCATCAAGTCATTTGGGCTGTGCCTGAGACAGAGCTGGTGAGTACGTGTGCCCAGGCTTGAAGGCAGGATGGCGCTGTGTGCTGATCAGTGCCCTCTGACATTGGCCGTTTGGCCAAGTAGGAGAGAAGCTGTAGGACTTTTGGCCACAACTGCTCCTTGGGAGCCTAGGATTCCTGTGAAAGGCTTTAGCCCAATTCTTTTTGTCTGTTCCTTTTCCTGCTCCCCTGCAAGCCTGGCTTTCCCTCACTTGCTGTTTCTTTTCTCCTGTAGGTGAAGTCAGATAATGAACTGGATGTTCTCAGCATCCTGCCAAATGGATGGCAGCCACATGAGTCTGTCCGGCCTAGGCCTTATCTCCTAGTGCCTTCCACACAGGTCACCTTCCTGGCACGACAGTACCGCTTTGTGATTGAGCTCGACCTGAGCCCATCCACAGGCATTGTGGTGAGTGTATACGTCTCTGCGTCTCTGTGTACCCCATGGCTCTGCCCACAAGGCGCTCCTGCTGCCATCTCTGTTCTGGAAGGGCTTTCTCCTGTGCATTTACTCCCAGCATGCATCTCCCCTCTGTGTGCCACAAGAGGTTAGCTCCCACTAGAAGCAGTGTGTGCCAGCAGCTGCCACTTGGCCAGTGCCACTCCTGGGCCAGCTCCTAGCAGGCAAAACCCCTGCACCGATAATCCCTGCAGGAAAATCCCGCCCCTATTGCAGGGATTATCGGTGCATAGGTTTTGCCTGCTAGGAGCTGACTCAGGAGTGTTCGCCTCTCCGTGCTGGGGCTCTGCAGAGTATTACTAGAAGGCTGTATGGTGTAATTCCATGTGCTAGGGATCCTTGTCAATACACCAGGGAAACAGCTAAAATTTCCTTTTTGTACTTCTGCAGGATGACTCAACGGGGGAGATCATTTTTGATGAGGTGTTTCATGCCCTTTCTCGATGCCTAGTGGGATTGCTAAAACCCTTCCGAATTCCTGGTTCAGAAATTACCTACCAGCCAGAGATCTTTGTCACCATCCAAGCATATTCCTCCATCATTGGCCTGCAGTCCCACCAGGTAAAGTTCTACCTCCTTCCCCTCCCCCCAATCTTTGTGTGAGAGCACTTTTTGTTGCCCTGGTTGCTGCTGAGATCCTAGGGAAGTGGAGACGGGAGTTGTCTGAGCACTGCTATATGATGCTGTAGTCTTGCTTCATGAGAGCCTGTAGTCGGGTGCAATGCTAGACTATAAAGGAGCAACTGCTCTAGTGTGGCACAGCTCCATCGTGTATCTGTGGGCAGGAGGCTGAGATTTGGCATATGTGGGCAATGCCAAGCAAAGAGGGGGATCTGTGGGCAGCAGCTTGCCATTAATTTAGGGAAGTACATCTAGGATATATTTTGCCTCAGTGTGACTTGAACTCTCTTCAGTTCACTTTTTTGGGTGGCTTCCTAGTGAGATTGGACCGTAGCTCAGGTGCTCTGTAAACCACACATGCAAGGGCAATTCCCGTTTAAACAACTGAATTCTGGTTGTTGGGGCCAGAAGGCACCCATGTAGCTAATCCCTTCCCACCAAAACCTTAACCCTCAAAAATCATAGTGTTACCATGCCATTTGCAGACCATCGCTCTTCTCACCCTGCTGATGCATTCTATCCCTTTCCTCTGTCTTCTGTCTGTGTGTTTGGAATGTAAGCTGCTTGGGGCAGGGACTGCTTATTACTCTGTCTGTACAGTACTTGCACAATCCTGGTTAGTCCCTAGGCACGACCATAATAAACATAACGAGGACACCTCCCTCTATCCTTCCCATTAGCCCGCTGTCACTGATGTCAGCCTGAACTGCCTGCTTGTCCAGTTCTCCCGTAACCGTCTGTGTGCTTTGTTCTAGTTCATCTCCCCTAGTGACATTCAATTGATCTGCAAGGCCATTATCCTCTCCTCCTTCAGATCCTTTCTCAAGACCCACTTCTTCCATGAGGCCTTCAAGAAACTAGCCCGGGGCTGAGGTGCAGATGGAGATTGCTGTACATATGCGGGGGAGGAGAAGGGTGTATATGTGTGCAACTCATCTAAATAAAATTGTCCATATTCTAGTTGTTTCCCTCTCCCCCACTCTGTTACTCATCGCGGGGGGGGAAGGGGGAGAGAATGGAGCTAGCAAGTTGTGTGCCGATTATCTCCTGAATTCTCTGCTTGTGTGTTGCATCATGTTCCCCTCCATGTCATCTTGTAAATTCTTTGGGGCAGGGACTGTCTCTTACTCTGAGTCTGTGCAGCACTCAGCATGATGGAGCCCTGATCGTGGCTGGGGCCTGTGGGTACTGCTGTAATATAAATGGTAAGAGCATCATCTCTGACCTGCTGTGAATTATCTGCTGTGATTGGGCTCCCACCTCCCTGACCAGTGGACTTCACTGTCCAATGCTCAGGCTTTTTCCCTAGTCTCTACCCTATTTTTTTTTCTTTTGCTTCAGGCGACTGTTCCTTTATCCTGCCAATTATCAACAGGTAGTTGGATCAGGCTGCATGTGTGTTAGAGTAGAACAAATGTGCTTTCTTGAGAAATGTTAGGCTGAAGTTAGAGGCATCTAGGGGCTTGGACAAGAAGCCCTACTTCCTCCTGTTCAGTGCCTTCCCTCTCCCTGACTCCTAGGGCAGCAGGAACCTCTTGCCCCAGAATGAGGTTGACAGGTGCATGTTGTGGTGGCTCCCAGGATCACAACACAGAGGTGGCTGGTGTGAGGCCTTTCTTGTCATGACTGAATTACCTGCCATCTCTTGTGTTCCCCCTGCATTTCCTTAGGGTAGTGCATGTGTGTGTCTGGATCAGTGGGTCAGATACCACTGTGATGGGTGGCCGTTTAAAACCCTAAGGTAATGTCTTTCCCATGTGTCTCTGGCTCAGGTGCTATTCCAAGGCTGTCAGCTGGATGAGACCAAGAGAGAGACCTTCCTGCAGCAAATTTACACACAGCTGTGTGCCTTTGAGAATAAAGTGGCTGAGATGCTCCAACAACAGTATGAACCCAAGCCCCAGGTGAGGCAGGCAGAGGTGATGGATGGACTGGAGGAGAGATCTAGGCTCTCTGGGGCTGCTTTCCTGCCCTGGCACTCCTCTGGGAGGGGTCATAGGATGCTGGCTTGTACTAAGATAGACATGCTATGTATGTCAGCTAGGAGTCTGTCCTTTTTGAGGAACAGCCTCGTTCAGTGGCTGAGAGAACAGCGCCTGGCTGCAGAGATAAGTGGACTGAGAGGTTTCCATAGTAGGTAAGCAGGACCAAGAGGTATTTGGGAGGGATCACATGGGAAATATTTACCCTAGCTCGGGGTTATACAGTTAAGCAGCTGGATTTATTTGAGATCAGTGGGCAGACCCCACCTCTGCACTCCCGCTCCCAGGTAGTTCATGTCACAGCGGGGTTCAGTGTTAGTACTAACATGGGAAGGGTGGCTTGAGCAGCTTCCTGTTTGGTGTAACAGCTGACTCTTGAGCTGCAGAAACAGTGAGGCCCAGCTGTTCCTAACATCATTTTGAAACAATGGTGGCTGAGGGATTTTTAGTGCAGGATACAGATATTAGCAAATTAACAGGAAGTGCCCTCAAGTAGCTGTTCGGGGTCATGGGGATTCAGAACTCAATGCGACCTGTCCATAAGAACAAGATCTGCGGAATGAAATGGAGGGGATGGGGGAATAAGACTGACCCTGCAAGCGCCTGTGTGTGTGATGGGATCCCCGGGGTACAACCTGGAACTGGGGTACCATCGTGCCCCCTTAACTCTCCAGCCTGGGCTGTCTCTCAATGCTTTGCTAATGATCAACAGCAAACCCCTCCAGGCGCTGTGATCACTCAGCATAACAGGAGGTGGAGCCCCACACCCAGCTAGATTACATGAATGCTCCCAGAGCCACTCCTGAATCACACAGAGAAAGGCACCAGCAAATCTCCCAATCCCCCAGTCTTGCACCCCAGAACTGTACCTGACCAGTGTATGTTTATTACCTAATCCACCCCCTCTCGATGTGGAGAGGACAGACACTAGCCTTTGTAAACTGATCACTTCAACCAAAACGTACTGTTTTAGATAAAACATGAAACATATGTATTAATTACAGAAAGATAGATTTTAAGTGATTATAAGCATCAGGCACAAAAGGTCAGAGATAGCTACCAAGGAAAATAAAAATAAGCCCGCAGTCTAAATCTTAACCCTTGTTTACAACTCCCCTGCTGATTTATGGTCACTTAACACTCTCCTGGGAGTGGATCACCACATAGCAGTGGAGACTCTCAAATTTACAAGATATTTCAGTAACAACCATTCAGCAAAATTTCATAACTTCGTACACACTAATGATATATGTATTTGCACAGAACAATGGGTGTCAGCAGATCATGACCTTCCATATAATAGTTTACATGCCATGCTTTGTATGAAATAGATCATAATTGTATGACAGTGTGAATATGGGGGCTCCAAGGTGCTGCTTTGAGGTACAGAGTGCCACAGTGTGTAACTTTATGCGCAAGAGCAATCTCATTGTAAAGTTATATGCTTGTGTAAGTGTTTTCAGCATCGGGGCTTTAATACAAGAACAAAATTGCTCAAATCCAGGGTAGTGAAAGCAGAAGCTGCTTCTGTATTTAGGTGGCTACTGCTGGTTTGTGAGAACCTTAGACAAAGAGTCACACATTTAAAGGGGCACCATAAACTTCATATTCTGACTGGAAACGTTTGACCTGCTAATGTCATGAGTAACATTTATAATTTCTAGAACTGAAAGAGACTTGTGGAGATTCTGTTTGACAGGTACTTTGTCAGCATTTTGTGCCAAGTCCCACTCATTGTGTTCCTGATAGAATCAGCAGCCCCTGTTTATGTGGCATTCTGCCACACACACCGGGGGAGGGAAGAGAAACACTTATAAACAAGAGTCGTTGTAAAACCACAGAAACTGGCAGTGGCCTTGGGCAGGAGGCTCTGAAGCAGAGGATATGCTAGAACTGAAATTTATTTTTTTTATTTTTGAAGTTGCCTAGGTTTTCAGTTGACTGTGTCCTTGCCAGCAAACACTGATGACTTTATTGGATCCAACAAATTAAAGGGGTTTCGATGCGCACTGAGGGATTTTAATTTTTGCTGATCATGTATCATCTTTCCCCATCCGAGAGCAGCCCTGTGATTGTGCCTGGGAAGGTTTTTTACCCTTACCTGGTTCAAGAGTACAAAATAATAGTTATATGGGATGAGGCTGGCAGAGCTGTCCCAAGCCATCCCCAGACCTGGAGGGCCCATGGTTGCTCTTGGTTTTACATGACAAATATTTATGTACCCCAGGACCACACACCCTCTTTCACCCACAATAGCCTTTGGGCAAATGACGGGAAAGACAGGGCAGCATTTGTATCCGTCTTTGTAACAGGACTTGTTCTGCTTGTACAGGTCTAAGCACATAGGTACACTTTTGTTTATGACCTGAGTCCTCAGCGCCTCCAGGAGCAGTGTCCCAGACAGGGTAAAAGAGACCTACATTTCTTAGATGCCCTGGAAGAGAGACCTCGGGCTGCACTGTGAGAGATGCAGCTTGCACTAGATTGAAGGAGTTAGGGTCTGTCCACACTGCAATTAGACACCCGTGGCTGGCCTGTGTCAGCTGACTGGTGCTTGAGCTGTGCAACTGTTTCCTTGCCGTGTAGACTTCCAGGCTTGGCTTACAGTCCGAGCTCTGGGACCCTGTTTGGGCTGCAGCCCGAACCCAGAAGTGTACACTGCAATGAAACAGCCCCACAGCCTGAGCCCTGCTAGCCCAAGTCAGCTGTCAGGTCTAATTGCAGTGTAGACATACATCTCCTAGTGCTGACTGCAGAAGTCTAGTGGCCCCGGCATCTCCTCCTCTACTCACCCCATGGGGTGATCTGGTAAGCCCAGGCTCTGCTCAGACAGAATATTGGGCATAAACACCATAGAAGCCTTCTTAGGGGCCAGTAGGAGTGAAAGCTCAGGGGAAAGCCACATTAACGGGATTGAGAAGGGCTAGAAGATTAAAGGTTAGCATAGTACTGGGTAAATCACACTAGGGCTGGGGTAATGTATGGGGCTGTTAGACTCCAGGGCACCTGCAAAAGGAGTGGGTGGAACAAGGTCAGAGTGTGGCTGACGGCATCTCGTTGGTTTCTCGTTGCTAGGTAGATTTGTCACCCCTCAGCCAGGAGAGTCCTTGTGCCACACAGGAACCTTCTGGAAGGAAGTCGGGTGTCTCCATGGTCACTGCTGACATTGGCCTAGTCAGCATGATCCGACAGGGGATCTTAGCACTGCAGCTGTTGCCTTCCAACTCCGGTGCAGGTTAGTTCCACCTCCTGGGCTCCAGGGAGGCTGGCCTGGAAGTCTGTATCCCTCTAGCCTTCATGCCCCAAGGAGTCACGTTAGGCCCTTCAGATGAGGGAAGGGCAAGGCTTCAGGGCAGCAGCTCTGCGATGCAGCATTTCATGATCCCATTGTGGTGTGGTAACGCAGATAAAGCCAGCGAGTGCACTGGGGGTGTAGGGTGGGGAGTCTGATCACAAATGAGGGACGGTGCTCTGAGATGGTGCCTTGTTACCTCCAGGTATCATCATAATCACAGATGGTGTGACCAGTGTCCCGGACGTGGCTGTGTGTGAGACTCTGCTCAACCAGCTGCGGAGTAGCACTGTGGCCTGCTCCTTTGTGCAGGTATGCCTGGGGCGGGGGCACTGCAGACTGCACCGTGTATGCTGGTCAGTCTGAGGCGGAGGGTGGGTGTGGGATGCTGCACCATGTGTGTAGGTATGCCAGTCTGGGGCAAGGGGTGGGGATGGAGATGGCTAACCTCTGGTGGGGAGTGGGGATCGGGGATGCCAATCCAGGGCAGGGGCTGTGACCCCCGGCAGGGGCACCGTGCTGTGTGTGCTGGTATGTGCTCCCTTTTGGGGGTTTGATGCTCACTCGCCCCTAGCAGGATGGAGTGGAGCTTACCTCTGCTTCTCTCTCTCCTCTCCCCTCCTTTGCTCTGTCTCACATGGATCTCTCTCCCGCGCCTTCTCAGGTGGGCGGAGTCTACTCATATGACTGCAGCTTTGGCCACGTCCCCAATGTGGAACTGATGAAATTTATTGCTATGGCAACTTTTGGTGCATACCTGTCTACCTGCCCTGAGCTGGATCCCTTAAGCCTCGACCTCAATGTATATCACAAGGCCTTCCTGCTGTATTCCTTCCTGCGCACTGGGGAGTCCCTGAACCCAGAGTATTACTGTGGTGAGGCGAGCATGTGTGTTCTGCTCCATCGGATGGGGTGGGGGCTGGAATTTCTTCATGTGGTGGGGCCTGGATACATCAATGTCCCCTTTGTACCCTTTCCTGATTGTTTCCAATAGCAGTGGGTGAGGGAGGCAGTGGGGAAAGCCTTTTTCCAGCCCCTTCTACCTACTGCAGTGCACACAAGGCAAGGGAGTGGTCCTCTTTTCTCCAGCAGCCCCGAGAGCTCGGTCTGGGGAGGACAACTTAACAAGCACACTGCTCAGTGGATTGGAGCATGTGGTCAGGGCCCGCAGAATTCTAGGCCTTCTCGAGGCTCTGAACACTACTGGATGCTGGAGCAGAATCTCTGTGGCTCCCTTCCTGGGGCATGGTGCTTTAGGGAGCATTAGCTGGGGAGTTGGGTGCTAACGTGCCTTTCTCACTACTGCTCTCAGCTTGCCTACCCAGCCCAAAGGGGAATGTTTGTGCAAGCCTGAGCACAATCCCCTCTGCCACGGGAGTACGGTGAGGGTAAGGAAACACTCACTGGCCCCTTTGCACATGGAGGCCCTCTGAACGCTGACCTGGTTGGCTGCGCTCCGCAGAGCACATCCAGACCATGTCTGCACATGGGAACTTGGCTTACACAGTTATGGTCCCCAGAGAAATGGCCACAATGTCAGCATCTGGGTGCTCTCACTGAGGATGCGGGAGGACACGACACTTTGTGTCAATTGAAAATTGGCCTTAAGGCTCAGAAGCATCACCAGTTCTTGGAAAATGCCTGCTGTCTGTGGGGGGGTTGAGATTTCCCATGCTGGTTTGGAGGGGGTCTGGCCTGAAGGACTGGGGGGCAGGGGTTCAGGTGCTGGGGGCATCCAATGCTGTTAGTTGTTAAACCTTGCAGTGAAGGCTGTCAGGCCCTACTAACTGGTCATTATACAGCACCCAGGGTGGGCATGAGACTCCCTAGGGACAGGGGGAAATGGATCCCTGCCTGGATTAGTGCAGCGGCCTTGCCATTCCTGTCTGGTTAAATGCATCACCCTGTTGTGCTCCTCCTGATTATCACGCCTGTCCCATCATGTGCTCAGGCTTGGCCCCTGCCCTGTTACAGATCTCTTCTGCACCAACAGGCCTCTCCTGTCCCCTTCCTGAGCGAGCCTGGAGGGATGCACTGCTCACTGGGAGGGAGGGAGGGGTTCCACAGCTGCACTCGCCAAGTGCTTTGGGCTCCTGCTGCAGGCTGTGGAGTGGAGGAGCTGCCCCTGCGTGACCCGTGTGCCTGCTGTTGTTTGCAGTGTCCCAGCACAGACTGTTCAATGAGCATTTGGTGTCCGCGAGCAGCAACCCGGCTCTGGCCATGAGGAGGAAGAAGCACACAGAGAAGGAGGTGCATGCAGACCTCGTGAGCATAGTCTCTGTCCGGCTGCGTGAGGGCTACAGCATCCGTGAGGTCAACATCACCAAAGGTGACCTGCCTGCACCATGCCGCTCTGTGACTTGGGGCTCCATTCCTGGTTACACAGACTTAAGTGCAGGCTCGCCATAGTCTGGCCAGCCTCGGTGGGGTGAGGACAGGAAACCATGGTCTTGGGGAAGGAGTTTGTTCTCCATGGTACATGCACAGGATTGCCCTGTGCATTTGCATGGTGCTTGTGTGCCTACTAGGCAAATCCTGTCTCACAGTATGGAGATACCAACAGTTCAGAGGTGAGGAGCAGCTACAGGGTAAGGGGGTGCCCCATAGGCGACAGCGGTGCAAGGGGGGGGAGGGATAGCTCAGTGGTTTGAGCATTGGCCTGCTAAACCCAGGGTTGTGAGTTCAATCCCTGAGGGGGCCACTTGGGGATCTGGGGCAAAATCAGTACTTGGTCCTGCTAGTGAAGGCAGGGGGCTGGACTCGTTGACCTTTCAAGGTCCCTTCCAGTTCTAGGAGATGGGATATCTCCATTAATTAATTAATAATTAAAGTCTGATCTGGGCACAAGTACTGAACCACGGCTGCAGTCTAGGAAGGTGCAAATAGCAGCACTTTATGCAAAGAAAGTGGCTGCCAGCAGGTAGCACTGTATTTACATTAGCCCAGTGGTTCTCAAACTTTAACAACCTGTGAACCCCTTTCACTAAAATGTCAAGTCTCGTGAACCCCCTCCTAAAAATTAATATTTCCAGGGATTTTCTTGCTTACCTGAGTATAAATTATAAAAACAGTGATCTTGGAAATATACAATTTGTTTTTATGACCTGCTTATTACACACTAATTATTATTAAGTCTCCCTGGCCTCTGTTGCCAGAAGCTGGGAATGGGTGACGGGATGGATCACTTGAGGATTCCCTGTTCTGTTCATTCCCTCTGGGGCACCTGGCACTGGCCACTGTCGGAAGACAGGACACTGGGCTAGATGGACCCTTGGTCTGACCCAGTAGGGCCATTCTTATGTTCTTATTTATCATTACAGTATTTTTATTACATTATGAAAATGGCCACACTCTTCCAAGATCTCACTTTCGTAGTTTGTATCACTTTGAATAAGCCGGTTATAAGACCAGGCTCCTATGTTTCATCAGAGTATCAGATGTGAAACAGCATGAAGGTATTTAAGAAGTCAACTCAAAGAGTTCCTCCTACACAAGCATTCAGGTCTTGAGCAGTCCAGACAAACAACGCACATTACAACAAAACTTAAACTTGTTCATCATAATAATTTTAAAAACAATACTAGCTGCCTATTTAATTTTAAAAACCGCAAAAAATATCCACCTCCCTTTCCATTTCTTATAAGGAGTCTTGAAGTTCAAATCTCCTCAGTGTGATAGATATGCTTGCTTTGATCCTCTTAGCTCTTGGAAGTCCAGGGGCTCCAGGCTGCTGGCCCCGTGCTGCCCGGGGTCCCTAGGGACAGCTCTGTCCGCAATTAGGGAATTTTTTTCCGAGAACATTTCTTGAACCCCCAGGGGTTCTCGAACACCAGTTTGGGAACCACTGCATTAGCCTAAGCCTTCTGCATTCCTGCCAGCACAGCAGTGGCTGCAGCAGAGCCAGGTGAGTGGCTGCAGAAATGATAGCATGGGCAGGATCTCAGTAGCACCATAAATGTACCTGGTCCTTCCTAGACAGTGAGAGAGAGAGAAAATGAAAATCTTACTTTAGTGAAGCCATGTAAAGAGGAATAAATTCCAGCAGGAGAAATGTACGGAGTAAACTAGGGTGAGAACAGGACTTTTGAAGAGCAAACTTCCAAACACAAATAGCAAGAAATCATTTGCATATGCAGAGACAGGACGCCTGCAGGAGAATCAGTGTGTCTGCTTGCCTAGCTGGGAGTCAAGGGAGCAGTTGAGAAGGATAAGGCCATAGCAGAAAAGTTTAATTATTTCTTTGCATGAGTCTTCAGCTCAGAAGGTATTGGGGAGATACCCACTCTTCTTGGATAGTAAAGATGAAGCACTGTCAGGGACTGAAGTGTCAAAAGTAGAGTTGCTGGAACAAATAGAGTGACAAGTCACCTGGGCCAGATGGTGTGCTGAAAGAGCTTCAGAATGAAGTATATGAGCTAACAAAAAATTGCAGTCTGTTTAAAATCTACACCTATGCCGGAGGCTCAGAGGGCAGCAAATGTTGTATCTCCATCCTGTAGGATGTTCCTGGGAATTCTGGCATGTAAACTAGCACTGTGTAAATTAGTTGAAACAACAGTTTTTAAAATAGAATTCTAAAATGGTTGGGAAATTGGACATGACGGTGTAATCAGCACAGCCTCTGCAAAGGAGAAGCATGCCTCACTATTAGGCAGCAGCAGAATGGAGCTGACCAGACTCTTTCTTATTGGTGTCACTGCTGTGGGTGTGGTTCTGGGCAGCTGCTGACCAGAGTCTAGTTAATGTCACTCTTGCTCTGGGTAGCTCTGTGCAGAGGAAGCTGAGGCTGGCTGCAGACTCAGGCAGGCAGCACTGCATCAGGTCTGGTTGGGATGATTGGCTTCTGACCAGTGACTTACCTCCTTTGATGGCTTAGCATCTCCAGCCACTCGCTGAGGAAAGGTTTGATAAGCCCTGCTAGCTGTGCAGCATTGGGGACCTAGTGGGGGAGCGAGTGAATGAGTCGGCAGTGCGATGACCTGTTTGATTGGGTTGTGTCCATAGGCTAGCATGTGGGATGGTTGTTCTGCTCCCCTGGCCCGGCTAGGTCCTCCTTGGGCACTGCCATCACTCTGCCAGTGAGGGAATGGAGCGCTTGGAGCAGGCCCCAAAGAGCCGAAGGATTCTGGAGAACAGCCCGTGGGGCAGGCTGGCTTGTTCACTTTGGGGCAGGCATGTCTGGGGAGAGATGGGACCAGTGTGACATGAAGGCTGTCAGGCCTCAGGGAACTCCAGCTGGTACCGAGTGCTGCAGTATCCCGTACTCGTGAGCAAACTACATCTGTCCTATGCTCTGCATTGGCTTCCTATAGACTGCTGAGTTAGGGGCAGGGTCTTGGTCCTAGTGTGCATAGTGCTTCATGGCCTAAGCCCAGCACGTCTGAGAGCCTAAAGCTCCAGGATGAAGCCTCTGGCTGACCGCTCTGCTCCTCCGGCACCATGGAGCTTCCTTCACAAGGGGAAAGCTCGTTTGTGCAGGAGACAGAGCTCTGCTTTTCCAGTCTGAGCCTGCCTGAGGAACTGGCCTCTCATTCCAAAGGCCAGGTGCGTGTCTGTGACACGCACACAGCAGTGTGTGCATTTCAAAACAGCTCCCCAGCAAAAACGCTGTATTGCACAAACACCTCTCTCCCTGTCCCCTCACTCAATGTGTGATTGGAAGGTGTTGGGGGTTAGGATGACACCTGTACAGGACAGAGTAGCCTCTGCCAGTTCAGAGTGGTATTTGAGTGGGCCTGGGCCCACTTGTTCTCTCATGCTGTGGGGTGCAGAACAGGCAGCAGTGGCCGAAGGGAAAGGCCAGGGTAAGTAGGAGGGGGCTTGTTTAGCCAGAACAAGCTGCCAGGGGGCGTTGTGGAGTTCCCATTGCTGGGGAATCAGAGCAGAGCCTGGGTGCATTGTGCTTAGGGCAGGTTGGGGGTGCTGAGTTTGGCCCTGACCCCATGGAGGAGAGGGACCATCCCACCCAAAGGATTCTGGGAATCCTCTTACCTGTTCAGGGGCCCCATGTCAGTTGAATCTTGTATCTGGGGGCAAGAGGTGGTGCTGCTGGGTTATGGCCTGGGTGGTGAGCTTGATCGCAGCCCCTCACGGCCCTGCTCTCATCCCACGCAGGCGGCTCCCAGCTGGAAGTGAAGCTAGTCTTGCTGTGGAAGCACAACATGCGGATAGAATACCTGGCTGTGGCGGCATGGCCCCTGGACCCCTCCAAGCGCAGTACCTGGGTGGAGGTGACAATGGAGGGCAGCTATGACATCCTGCATGATATCAGCTGCACCATGAGGAAGCCTATCACCAGCCTGTACCGCACTACAGTGATCCGTCGCTTCTGGAACACACTGCAGAGGTGAGCCTGGCCATTCCCTGCAGCTCTCGTAGTCTGACCCCAGCACCTGCTCGCTCCAGGATGCCTCTGCACCCTCTTTCCCTGCTCACCTGGGCCCCCCAGTGGGGGTGGCCTGAAGAGGAACACCGAATGGGAAGAGGGACTTGAACTGACTTGTGTCCTAGGCAGTAGGATTCCCAGAGCCAACGGTGCTGCATTCCCTGGGCCCTGCTCTGTTTGCTGTCATTAACCAGACCCCAGGCATTGGGAGGGGCTGGGCAGTGAGCAGGGGATGTGTGCCCCTGGCACCACCCTGCAATGCTGCTTTGCTCTGAAGGTCAGAGCTGTGGGTGATTCTCTCTCAGGTAGGTGGGGTGTGTGGCTGATCCCGGATGACTTGTGGGCATCTGCCCAGTGTTCCCAAGCTCTGCAGAGGCTGGGGCATCTACCCCTGTTCTGCGCAGTTGTTCCCTGCCTGCTGTACCTAGAGGGAAGGACACGGCCGAACCCTTTCCTAACTCTTCTTGCTGTGGCTGAGCTCTCTCGCCTGTGGGGTGGGCTGCTGCATCCCGGCTCCCTCTAGTGTGCCCTTTGCCAGGCCTGGGGGAATCCTGCTTCCCCCAAGGACGTGCCCCCAGCTGGCCTGGCAGTGCCACATGTGCAGGCAGCACAGCTCTGAATGGTCGATCGGCTGGGAGCGCCCCAGAGACTTAACGATGGCTTTTGTCTTGCAGCATCAACCAGACAGATCAGATGCTGGTTCACCTGCAGTCTTTTGACACCGTTCCAGAGCACTTCACCATCCCTGAGAGCACTAAGAACGGAGTGCCCCTTTTCTACATCCCACCGGGCTCCACTACCCCGGTACGCCGCCGCCTCCCCTTTCCTGAGAGCCCTGGGAACAGGTGCCCTTCTGTTCTGTATCCTGTGTCAGAGGGCTGATCCATGCAGCTGGCTGCCATGGTAGCTGTGCCTCACAGGAATGGCCCATAGGCTGTTCTCCTTGCTAACAGTTGCACTGCTCCACTTCCGCATGATGCTGTGTGAACCGGCACTTCTCTGATGTCCTTTCCCGAACATTATGCACTCCATGGCGCTAGCGTAGGGTGTCTGCTCCAGCAGCTGCTCCTGGAAGCCCCTGGGGTGAATAGCAGGCTGCCCATTCTAGGCAACGTGCAGCGTGTTCTCCAGTGAGCGTGTGGTGTGTATACCAGGTGCACTCCAGCTAGAGAGGGCAGGAGTGCCGCAGGCTCAGCCTGCCTTGGTGCGTCTGAGATACCTTCCCATGGGTGCGGAAGCCCATACTGGCTGTCCGGCTGCATTGCTCAGTGATGTTGCTGAAAGCATTAATTCTCCCCAGAGACATTGTAATGCTCTTCAGCCAGCCTGCGAGGCTCAGACTCGGGGGAGGCCTGGACCTTCTCCCTGGGGAAACCAACAGCTGGCAGCTGAGCTCTGTAACCCCAGCTCTTTCTCTCTGTCTCTCAGGTGCTGTCCCTGCAGCACAGCGGCTCTGACTGCAGCCATTCACAGTTTGCCTCCTACTGGAAGCCCATCCTCTCCATGGATGCTAATTTCTGGCAGAGGTGGCTGCATATGCATCGGATTGTCCTCATGCTGGAGCATGACACGTATGTCTGTGGTGGGGCTAGGGCAGCGTGACCTGGACAAGTCGCTGTGGGGAGGAAAGCAGCCCAAGGGACGGCGGGAGCCTGGCTAGGCAGCCAGAGCCTGCAGGAGCTGCCTCGCTGACAGAAGGGGGCTATGCAGGATTACTCTGTGCACAGGAAGGCCCTGGGAAGGTGTCTGCTAGCTGCAGAGCACGGCAGTAACAGGCTGGGCTCTCAGGCATGGGAAGGCCCGTTAGCCTGAGGAGACCATGCTGTTTGTGCATTAGCCCTCTGCAGGCTGGGAAGGCCTCCTGGCTGGAGGGGGAGGGGAGAAGAGAGGCAGCTCCTGAGAGTGTTGGGTGCCCTCAGGGTTTGTCTCTGCCAGAGAATCCGATGGCAGGATCTCCTGTGGGCTCCCAGCTGGAATTTCACCCTGTGGCTCAGTAAGCCTCCCTGCAGGGTGGAGAAGCTCAGGGTGTGTCTACACTACAAAATTATGTCAACCTAAGTTCTGTGGCTGTACAGCGCCGCATGTCCACACTATGCTCCGTGTGTCAGTGGTGCGTGTCGTCCCCAGGAGCACTCGCACCGATTGTACGGTCGATGTGGGGCACTGTGGGACGGCTCCTGAAAGGCAGCCACACTTGATGTAAGCAACGCAGTGTCTACGCTGATGCTGGGTTGACCTAACTACACTGACCTAAGCCTCTCGCAGAGGTGGAGTTAAGCCCTGTAGTGGGCGAGTTACGTTGGCAGGAGCATTTTAGTGTAGATGCTCACAGATTTAGGGCAGCATAAGCTGCCTTATGTCAACCTAACTCTAGTGTAGCCCAGGACTCAGTATAGAGGGGCTGTGGCCTGTTCCAGGGGAATCAAAGGACAGGTACAGCTGTTGTGTCCTGCTGAGAAGGGGGCTGCCAGTTGTTCACAATGGCCCTCGTTTCCGTAAAACACGGCTGGAGTCTGCTCTGATTCCTGCTTCAGGCAGAGCCCAGTGCCTGGAACCTCTGGAGAGCTGGAGCTTCCAGGCGCGGGGCCAGTTTGGAGTCTGTCTCTGCATGTCCCGACATTATGGCAGGTGACTGCGAAGCTCCATTGGCTCAGATGGACACAGTGGCCTGCTGCCCACCCTGGCATCATCTGAAGCCAAGGAGGGGAGGGCGCCCTGTTAGCAGGGGGGCTCGTCCCAGCCAAGGATCAGTGTGGCTAAGCCCCAGCCCTGATCAAAGGCTTACCCCATAGGTCCTTGGGAAGCAGGTAGGTAATGCAACCTCCATTGTACAGAGGGGGAAGTAGCAGATCAGCCTAGGGGGAGAGCAGGGTTCCTGTGACAGCGGAACAGTGGAACTCCCTGCAGGTGTGGCAGAGCTAGACAGCACAGCAGGAGAGGCGTTAGTGGCAGCCTGTGGGTGTGGGTGGGGGAGGAGCAGGTTGATCCTGCCCAGGCTAATGAGGGAGGGTGAATGGGCCAGGGGCTCTGCAGGGGCCCTTCCTGGGCCATGGTGGGAGCAGACAGGAGGGCTGGGCTAGTGACGCGCTGGTGTGTTCCACAGACCCGTCCCAAAGCACCTGCACACACCAGGCAACAATGGCCGGTACAGCACCATCCAGTGCCGCATCTCCCACTCGGCACTCACCTCCCTGCTGCGGGACTGGAGCAGCTTTGTGCTAGTGGAAGGCTACTCCTACGTCAAACTGATGCCCAGGTGAGAGGCTCCGTGTACGCAGGGTGCTGCTTCTGCTGTGCTCCATAGAGAGCCTGGTGGGGCAGGGGTGGAGTCAGGGTTCCTTTCGCGCACTAACACCATGGCTCATGGGCTGTTGGAACTGCCATTCAGGTGTGCCCCGTTTTCCCCCACCTTCCGTGCGCTGCTAGAGCCCTCTTTCCCTCTCTCTGCTCCTGGCCCCCTTTCTGCCCCATCTGCCTGGGGCAGCCCCTGCTAATCTGAGCGCAGCCCCTCCTCTTGCCAGAAAGCCTTCCAGCAGGAACCCCCATGGCAGTACTCTGTCCTCTCTCATTGGGGCCCTGGAGTGTGTCTGACTCAGCAGCTCTCTGCACGCCCCTCGTGCTGTGGAATGAAAATAGTACAGGCTGATCCCTGCTAGCAGGGCTCGTTCAGCTCCGCCTGGCTGACCCCAGCGCTGGTTGACTCCAAACCCAACTTGCAGCTCACCCATAGCAGGGAACTCTCTGACCTCGCAGCTGGGGGAAGGAGCATCCACTCTGCATCGGGCCCCAGAGCAGCTAGAGCTCTGCCGCCAAGACCATGCCGCCCGGTTCGACCATTCTCCCTGCTACTCAGTCAGTGACTAACTCCTCTTCCAGCTCTGAGGATCCAGCTCCTTCCTCATTCTATGTGGTACGGATCATCTCCAAAGCTCCCTGCATGGTTCTCCGGCTAGGGTTCCCCATCGGGACGCCTGCCCAGGCCAGGAACCGGGTGAGTCTGAGGGAGAATGCTTTGGGGCAGTGGAAACAGAGTGAGCTGCCTGGGAGGCGTGGGGGGGCTGGCATGGAGAAGAAGCAGGTGGATGTATTTACAGAGCTGACACCTTGACCAGGCCGCTGTTTGGGATTTGGGACAAAGGAATTTAAAATGTAGCTGCTGTAGCAGAGATTTGGAAGGTGGCAAGAGACTGCACCTGTATTTTAAAGAGGCTCCAAGGGTGATCCAGGGAATTGCAGACTAGTAAGCCTCACATCTGTGCCTGGTAAACGGGTCAAAATGATGATTTAAAATAGTAAAATAAAACATCTGAAGATTATATGATTTGATCTAACCAGCGTGGTTTGTGCAGAGGAAAACCATGACTCACTGAGCTATTAGAATTCTTTGAGCATTAGTAAAGTAGTGGATAGAAGAGAAAACTAGTTAACATAATTTAGATTTTGACAAAGTCCCAGGCAGGAGGCTACTAAGAAGCTAAGATGTCATGGGCTGAGAGGCAAAGTGAGGGATCAGGATCTGTGAAGGAGACAGGAAACAGTGGGATTAAATGTTCAGTTTTCATCCTGGTGCCCGCAGGGTCTGTACTAGGTCCTGTGTCCTTTAATGTTCTGGAAAGGAAAGGAGGCAGAGAAAAGTGAAACTCCCTGCAGATGTGGCAGACCAGACAGCGCAGCAGGTGACTTCATAAAGGTCTCTGAAAGGAGTGGACTAAAGAAAGGCAGTTGGGAGCGTTGTTCTGTCTCCTAACACAAGAATAAGGCACATTCAATGAGGCAAATTAAAAACATAAAAGGAAATTTGACTGTGGAAGTCACAGGAAGTTGCTGAGGCGAGAACTTAACAAGATTCAAAGAGGGGTAGGGCCTTTACGTGGGTACAGAATACCCTAAAAACCTTGCACTTTGGGGCTTAACCCAACCTGTAACTATTAGAAATCAGGAGGAGACCATTATGGGGGCAGATTATCCCCCACGTGCGACAGCAGGATTTTTGCACCTTTGTCTGCAGCCGTTGGAGCCAGGACACCGAGCTAGGCAGAGTTGTGGTCTGGACCCATCTGGCAGTGCCTGTGTAATGGCATTCCTGCAGACCCAGAATGGGGCAAGAGTAGGGAATGGTTTCCCTGGTGCCTCTCTCCACAGAGCAGAGCTGTTTGTTGATCAGGAGTGGGGAAGGGGTGGTTAATTCATAGCGTTTAAGGCCAGAAGGGGCCATTGTGATGATCTAGTCTGACCTGCTGTGTGACACAGACCATTACACTTCACCCAGCTACCCCTGTGCTGAGCCCAATAACGTGTTTGGCTAAATCATTTCTTCAGAAAGGCCTCCAGCTGGAGAGTCCATCTCCTCCCTCGGCAGACTGTTCCAGGGGTTAGTCCCCCTCACAGATTGAAAAACAATTCTGCCTTATTTGTCTGGCTTCAGCCACCAGCTTTTGGTGGTTCCTGTCCCAAGTTAAAGAGCCCTTTGGTACCGGGTGTCTTCTCCCCTGGGAAGTACTTGTCGCTGCAGTCCAGCCACCTTGCAGTCTTCTCTCTGAGAGCTGAACAGTGTGAGCTCTGTAAGCCGGTCACTATAAAGCATGTTCTCCAGCCCTCAGAGCAGTTTTGTGGCTCTTTTCTGCTCCCTCTCCAATCTTCAATGTCCATTTTAAAATGTGGACCTAGAACGGGATTCTGTATTCCAGGATCAGCCTCACCAATTTCACATACAGAAGTAAAATCACCCCCCTGTTCACTGCTCCTCTGTCTGTACATCCCAGGATCACCTTCGCCCTCTTTGCCGAGGCCCTGCTCTAGCAGCTCACGTCGAGTTGCTTGTCTCTACAGCAGGCAGCATGGGCGTAGCTAAGCCCAAGTCTGCAGGACCCAGGCTTGTAGACTTGATGTTTCCAAGCCCTGCTTGAGCATCCATGATTCATTGTAAATCTGGGTCTGCACTGGCTGGGCCTGGCTCCCTCAGATGGGCTAACACGTCCACACCACGCTGCGCAGCCCTTCGCATTGTGGCTGGACCTGCAGCCATGCTGCCAAACGAGAGCGCTTCAGCCTGAGCTATAGCTGACTCAGGATCTCACCCTCTCCCCTAGCAGGGTCCTAGGCCCCAGGCGCTGAGTGCCGCCGACCCGGGTCAGACTGATCTCTTCGTGGATGGAAGTGAGGCTTGGGCTCAAATCTCAGTTGGGATCTGGGTGTAGTGTGCAATGCAGACACCCTGTGATCCCTAAATAGAGCTGCTCAGGCTTCCTTTTACCTCTGTCCTGCAGATAGTGGAGGAGTTACAGGACCGGATCCTGCAGCTGCGCTTCCCCCACCGGGTCCAGAGCAAAGAGGCGACTCCCAAAGTGAAGAGGAAAACTTTTGGCAGCAGCTCTCCCTCGAAGTCCCCGCCCGTGGCTGGGGCCCCGCCAGCCCTCTCAGACAGGCCCTGCCTTGTAGTGCTGCACAAGCCGCTGGAGAAGCTCCTGATCAGGTAGTGGCGGTGGGCTAGTGGGGCAGAGGGGCAACAGGCTGCCGGGGGTCATCTTGCTTAGTAGTCGGGGTGGGGAGGGGAACCGCGGTCTGGGTTTGCCCTGTGCCCGAGGAAGGGCCCGTGGAAGGTTGGTGCTGCCGGCGGCGGGGTAGCTTGTGCCCTTGGGTGGGTTCCGCGGGCACGTTCTCTGACAGAGCTGAGGCTGTGACTCGCAGGGCTTGGGGTCAGCGCTGTGCTGAGAATCCGAACCTGGCTAGAGCGAAGGGAGGGGGAGAGAGGATCACTGGCCCCAGAGAGGGGACTGAAGTGGAGCAGATCCCAGCCTTCCTACTGCCACCCCCGTGGTGTTAGAGCCAGGATCAAGCCAGCCGTCCAGAAGTGCAGGCCTTGTCTGGGGACCCTTCCCTCTTGGCTGGTCGTTCTCCCTTCCTCCCTCCTAGGTATGAGAAGCTGCCTTCCGACTACCGGGCTCCCTTCATCCTCACCCTGGAGCACCCCCCTGTGTCCGGCCCCCTCACCATGGTGGCCAACCGCACCGCCTCCTCCACCCTGGCTTCGCTCTCCCGCTACTTCTATCACCAGCGCTGGATCTGGTGCATCCAGTCGGGGCTGGCCCCAGCCGTGCCCATCGCAGCCGTAGCCCATCTCCTGTCCACACTCACCGAGTAAGTGTCACGTCTGAGGGGGGCAGGGAGCTGGCGGGCGGGGAGCTGCCCTTTTCGAAGGTGCAGACCCCAGGGCAGAGCCGGATGGTTTGAGGCTGGGTTGGGGTCCCATAACCCTTCTCTGCACGGCTCGGATTCTGGGTCTGTGGGGTTCGCCCAGTCCTGCTGCCACCCACTAAGGGCGAGTGGATTTCCTGACGTGAGTGCGCAGGAGGCGTCTCCTGGAGCACGGCACCATGGCCTGGCCTTTGCTTCTGTCTGGGCTGTGTCTGTAACGTGCCAAGCTACTCCCGGTGTGTCGGGGCTGGCTCGGATCCAGTCCCTGCGGGGGGGCCCTGAGGAGTTCCTGTGGCCGAGGGGCTCCTCTCGGGGGAGGGGGAGCGGAGGCGTTGCTCATCTCCCAGTGCTTTTCTCTGGTGCTGCCCAGGGTCCGTTTGTCAGAGGGCTTCCATTTTGCATCCAGTGGAGACGGAATTATCAATATGGTGCTGGAGCTGCCCATACGGGTAAGTCCTGTCCCTGCCCCACCCAGTCCCTCCAGGGGGACACGCTCTCTGAGACCCCATGGGAATGAGCGTGGGGAGACCCACTCACTTCCCTGGGGCTCAGCGGCTCCTGTCTCCTCCCCAGCCCTGGGACTGAAGGGTCCCATGGAGCACTGGGGGGCTCTCTGCTGTAAAGGCGTAGGCTCCCTCTCCACTTCCCTGCCACAGGAGGGGACTTGGGAGTGGGGTGTGTTGGGGGAGGTGTGGGGATTGGGGGAGGGGGAATTTGAAGGTGGCCTTGTTGGAGGAGGTGTGGGGATGTGGGGTGGGCTGTGTTGGGGGAGGTGTGGGGATGGGGGCAGAGGGGTGTGGTGGGCTGTGTCACATGGGATTTGGGGGTATGGGGATGGGCTGTTGCAGGGCATGGGGAAGTGGGGCAGAGGGATTTGGGGGAGCGGCGACAGGAGACGGATTTGGCAGTGGGCTGTGTTTTGGCGGCATAGTGACTGGCCTGAGGGATTTGGTGGAGGCAGAGGGTAGGTACACATTGGTGCCGTTGTTGCTGGTCCAGCAGTGGGTTGTGTTTTGGGGGCTGAGGGGTTGGGTGGAGGCAGGGCGTAGGCACGCATTGGTGCCGTTGTTGCTGGTCCAGCGGTGGGCTGTGTTTCGGGGGCACAGTGACGGGGCTGAGGGGTTGGCTGGAGGCAGGGGGTAGATTCACATTGGTGCAGGTGTTGCTGGTCCAGCGGTGGGTTGGGTGGAGGCAGGGGGTATGCACGCATTGGTGCCGTTGTTGCCAGTCAGGCTCATGCAGCGTCTTGGCCACAGAGTGACTCCTCCAGTGACGACAGCAGCGGCAGAGAGAAGCACACTTGCATCGTCCAGTATGTCCTCTTTCCGCCACACTCCACCTCCACCAAGGACAGGTGAGGTCAGGGATCAGCCTCCCAGGTAGCACTGAGAGCCAGCCCCTCTGGCTCCTGGCCTCGGGCCTGTCGGGCAGTGTGTCGGGATGGGGAGGGCTCGTACCTAGCGCACCCTTAGCAGCTGTTGGGCTGTGACTGCTTGGAGCTGCAGTGCCCTCCTGCCTCGCTGGGCATGGCCTGCTGTGGGGGCGGGCTAGCCATTGATGCCGGCTCTCGGGGGGCGGGTGGTGCTGCCCTGGGGGGTGTCTGGAGCCCATGCAGCACGGGGGAGAGGCCTGAGCAAACACCTGGATGTGCAGGATGCTCACCCCACCTGCGCTGTTCTCCAGCTTCTCTACAGATGATGACAACGACACAGAGGTGGAGGCCATCGAAATGGACACCGAGCTGAACCTGGTCACTGAGTGCTGGGTGGAACCACAGAGTGGCCACATCCGCAGCACTGCTGAGAACTGGAGGTATCTCCAAGGGCTGCCCTACCAGAAGATCCCCAAAGCTGTGAGTCTCCAAGGGTTGGTGGGGATGGTGAGCCCAGTCACGTGCCGGGCCCCCATTGTCCAGGCCCCGTGCAAATACTGACCAAAATTTTCTAAGCGTGGGACATTAGATGGGTTGGACAGATGGCAAAGTGCAGGGAAACAATGGGACAGTATTGCTCAGCAGGACTGGCAGAGGTCTCAGCACCTCTGCGGCCTTGCCGTTGTCAGATCTTTTCTGGGCATCATGGCCAAGGAGACCTGGGGAGGTTAAAGCTATCTGGTGGTCCTTTTCAAAGCTCTCCTTTGCTGTGATACCCACAGAACTATGACAACCGGCTGCTGGTGCGCTGAACCCACTGCCCATCATGGTGACAAATAGGGTTTCGCTGTCTCTGTGTGCTCCCCCGTCTGCCTGTACCCATCTCTCTGGTCTTATGCTCAGACTGGAAGCTTTCTGGCACAGGGGCTGTCTTTGTTCTATCTGTGCACCACTTAGCACAGCCCATGACTACGGCTCCTAGGCGTGAGGATAAATCATTAAGGGAGATTTGAAGGAGGGTAGTGAGGCAGCTTTGCAGATGTTTATGGGATGCTCCTCCCAAGTGTGAGGGGCAGCATGGGAGAAAGGCACAACGGTGTTTGTTTGAACGTATTCCAAGTGGGTGAGGGAGGCTGGCCTCACGGGATGGTGAGAGGCAAGAGTGGACACCACAATCATGAACGAGAGAGAGAAAGTGAAAGCAAGTAGCTTACATTTGATGCAGTAGAGCAAGGGGAGCCGGTGAAGGGTTGCAACGAAAGGAGTTTGGTCAAAGCAACTGGGTAAGAAAATGATCTCTACAGCAGCACTGCCTGCATTTGTCATGGCCAGGAGGAGAATGTTGCCGCGATTGAGATGTGGAGTGATTAGCACCTGGATGAGTGCTTTAGCTGTGTGCGGGTCTAGGAAAGGCCCTATTTTACAGATGCTGTGGAGAAAGAATTGGAGAGACAGATAGCCGGATGTGAATCTTAGTCAAAGGTGATGCCCAGGTTACACGCTCGAGTGACAGGCAGGATGGTGGTGATGTACGTAGTGATTGAGAAAGGAGGTGCAGAGCTCTGGACACCGCAGCTTGGGGCCGCCACTGGAGGGGGGGGACCCTGGAGCTCCCAGCTCTCCTACACCCACCCCTCCACACACACA